GGCGCTCAGAACCCGACTGCGGCATCTTCCCAGGTTCCACCGCCGCCGGCTGCTGCAGCTGTCTCGGCCCTCCTTGCCCGGCTGCGTCCCTGCCCTCCGCCTTGTGCCCCCGCCGCGGGGCTTCGCGACGCCCGGGCCCGGGCCACGGGCCGCAGCGCCGGGCTGGCGATGAGCGCGAGGAGCCAGCATGAGCGCAGGTGAGTGCGCGGCAGTGGGCCGACCAGGAACCAGGCGCGGTGTCCGGGCCGCTAGTCGTCGCAGCTGCCGTGGGGCGACACCCCCAGTGAGGAGTCACGAACCAGGGGAGCGACCCTGGGGGAATCCCCGCGCCGGTCCCCTTCCCTGAGAGAGGAAGCTCCTGGCTCCCATGCAAGGGGTAATTGGGGGCCCCGCGGTGATGGGGGTCAGGCAGATGTCCCCACTCGCACTGGACTCGCTCCCGCGAGTGTGACGGATGTCCAGCTTTGGGAAGAGACGTGGAGGCCATAGCATCCGGGGCCTCTAGGCAGTTTTTCTTCTTGGCTGAATTAATGAATGCGAATGGAGAAGCCAGGGCTCCTGAGCTCCTGTGTCGAAGTGTCCTGGAGCAGAAAACGCCACTCTGATCCCCTGCCTCAGGCCCACAGGGGAAGCCTTTCAGCACCCAGGTCCAAGGACCACACCTTCCATGTTACCATCCCAGGCCAGGTGTCCCAGGCCCATCCATCCTTTCTAGAGTCTAATTTAAATCCTACTGATGTGAATGGAGCCAATAGACCTCTCCTATCTAGAAGGGTCTCATCTCCGTTTGGGTCACTCAGACCCTAAACCTCAGCTAAGGGCCCACCAGGGCTTGAACATCCTCTCTGCAGCTGCACACCCCTCAATTAAAGTCTCTCCTTCCCCATCTGCCCCGCTAGTCCCAACTCTCCAAAGTCTAGAGTACACCCAGAGTGAGGGAGGGGAAAGGCTGAGGAAAGGTGTCTCCTGGACTCCAGATCTAAGGATCAGGATGCTACTGGCAAACCGTCCCTCACCTCCCCAGCCTGACAGAGGAGAGGAGCCCCTGGTCACTGGGGTAACCACAGCCAGGGAGGGGGCATCTCTGCTGCTCTACTGCTGCCCTGGGCAGCTGCCAGTTCCCCAGCAGGAAGCCAGGGCTTCCGCAGGAAACAAGAGGTCCCCAAATGTCTGACTGCAGCCCCTCTGCTCTGCAGTGCTGATAGCACTGCCCCAGGGCCATGGAGTCAGGCTGGGTTCAAGTCTAGTCTTGGTCACTCACAGCTGTATGACTTTGGACACATTAATCAACCTGTCTGGACCTCATTTTAAATGAGGATGCTAATCTGTGCTTTTCATGGAGTGGCTGTGAGGATGAATGGAGAGGAATGTGTTCATTCAGACCCACCTATTTCCAGCTTCATCTTCAAGCTGTACGATCTGAGTAAGAGACTTGGAAGCTTTGTTTCTCAGTTTCCGTAGCTGTAATATGGCGATAATAGTAGTTTCTCCCTCAGAGGGTTATGCATGAGGATCAGTTGTTTTTCTTCAGAAGAGCAATACAGTCATCATGAAAGCATTCTCATCCCATGCAGCCTGTGAGCCTGCTCTGGGCTGGCCTGCTCTGTTGGTACAGGAGAGATCAGACTTTGCACTGCCTTCTTGCACCATCACTGGGGAGACCAAAATGTGAAAAGACATAAGCAAACACTGCAGGAGAGAGTGCCCTGGGCGTGACCCTGCCAAGGGACGAGTTTTCCACAGATGGGACTTCCTCCTTCAGGCTCCTCTCCCTTCTTCCCAAAGGTGAATGGGAGAGAGTCCTCGTCAAATGGCAGGTGTGTAAGAGACACAAGAAAGAACTTCCCATGGGGAACGTTGTTTAGATCCTGGAGGAAGTGAGCGAGTGAGGGTGGCACAAGGTGGTCACTCCAGGGCCCTTCAAAAAGGGGCTCACCCCTCTGTACCTCACAGCTGACTGATCCAGAGGCAAGAGACGAACACAGTGACTCCGAGCACCGTCGCTTCCATGCTGTAAGGGTGGCACAAGGTGGTCACTGGCAGGGCCCTTCAAAAAGGGGCTCACACCTCTGTACCTCACAGCTGACTGATCCGGAGGCAGGAGACGGACACAGTGACTCCGAGCACCGTCGCTTCCATGCTGTTATGTCAGATGTACATTCATTCGTCCAGTAAATGGTTCCTAAGCCCAGGCACTGTGAGCAGGACAGGCAGTGACACCCGTGCAAGTCTGATGTCACGATGGGTATTGGTGGAGTGAAATGGGCAGAGAACACTGTGGAGTCAGACAGGTTCTTTCCAGTTGCGAGACAAGTCAGCGGGCAAACTGCCTCTCTGAGGCTTAGTTTTTTTTCAGTTGTAAAATGGAAGAAATTGAAGGATTGTTACAGGATGAAATCGAATCAGCGAGAGCAAAGTGACAGCTGAGGTCGACCCAGCACCCTGCAGGCTTCTTTCTCATCTCCTGCCAGCTGCGTGCCAGAGGGTTTTAAGGCACCGTGGAGTGCAAGCAGGAACAGTGGCACAGCTGTGGATTTTCTGGCGGGGTGACAGGAACGTAGAGGGGAGCCTGAGAAATAGGTCAGGGCAGAGCCAGGCCTCCTTGGCAGGGAGCCAGGAGCCACGCGCTGGTGCAGGCCCAGGCTTCTGGAACTTCAGACACCATAGGCAGCTGTTACTCACGCTGCCTCCTGTACCAGCTGCTTCAGGGTTATGATCCTAGAAATAGGAAATGGAAGCTCAGAGAGGTTAAAGCATTTGCTTTGCAAAATAGCTTGCTTGTAAGAACCAGGAGCACAGTTACTGATGGCGACAACACCGGTGGTCGTGGTGCTTTGGTTAAGAGCATGGACCCTAGAGCCACACCGCTTGCTGGCTGCATGGCCTTTGGGCCACTTCACCTTTCTGGGCCTCAGTTTCTCAATTTGCAAAATAGGGATAAAAGTAGTACCTGCTTCATAGGAATAAATGAGTGAACGTATGCAAAGCCCTTGGAGCAGGGCCTGGGCTGTGTCAGCCCCGTATAACCGTAGGTGCTCTTTCCCCTTACATTATAGAGAACAGAGAACAGCCATAAGGTGTGAGAAACTACCCATCTCACTCAGTCTGTGTCCAGGGCAGGGGAGGGACTCTGGCACAAAAGACTCCAGGGGCAACTGGGGCTGTGGCCCTTTGAAGTGAGGCAAGAAAAGGGCTGTGGCTTGTTGGTGGCAAAGGACCTGAGAACCCAGCATTACCAGACTGTGTGAGTTGTCCTGAGTGCCTGCTCGTCTGCCTGCCAGGCCGGGAGCCAGCCCGAGTTTCCCCTTGGGCTCACCAGAGAGCAAAGCGGCCTCAGCTGTCATCTGTGAGCTGGCCTCAGGAAGGGAAGGAAATGGTGCCAAGACAAGCTTTAGTCACAAGCCGGAGTGGGCTGGGGCCAGAGAGTGAAAAGGACCACTGCAGGGGACCCAGGCTGAGGTCTCTGTGAGCCCCAGGGAAGAAGGATGACCTGGCTTCCTGTCCCTCCAGCCTTGAGATTCTACTGCTGGCCAGAGACCCCCGTGCTTGAGGGCTACAGGGGTGGGGTGGGGTGTGGGTGTGTGTGTGTGTGTGTGTGTGTGTGTGTGTGTGTGTGTGTGTGTGTGTGTGGGTTCGTTCCTGGAGCTGGTGGCTCCATTTGTTTTCGGAGTCACCTGAGTGGATGGGGAGGGATTAGCTGTAGGTGGGGCTTTGGCTAGGTTGGTTTTGTAGTCATCATGTCACAGGCTTCGGGAGGTGCAGGGCCTGTGCCCTGTTCTCTGAAAATGTTCACATGGGCCCTAAAAGCATAGAGTTCCCAGCTCCACCATTTACTGGGGGATCTTTATGCCTCTGAGCCTCAGCTCCCTTATTTGTAAAATGAGAAAAATGCTTCCCCTTATCATGGTGCTGGAGGGTTAAAGAAATGAGCTAATTCGTGTAAAGGCTTAGAGTGGATCTTGTCACCTGGGAAGTGCTTAATGCATGTTGGCTGCTCTTATTATGGTCATTACCGTAGTAATTATTATCCTCATCATGATGCAAGGAGACGTGGGGGGCTGGGACAGGAGAGAACAGACTGCCTAGTCCGATGGGGACACATGGCCCCCAATCCTCGGTGTTCCCAAGTGGCAGAGGGATTAAAACCCACCCGCCTGGGCTTGCATCCCTTCGCTCCCATAGACTCGATCTGTGTAAGTTACTTAATCTCTCTGAGCTTCATTTTCTCCTATAAGAAGGGGATAATGACTGTGTTTGCTTGGCAAGGATTATTGTGTTAACCATGTGAAAAAGGCCAGGAGCAGAGCCCGCACTCAGGGGCCTCGGGAAAGGTTGGCTCTTATGGTTACATCGGGCTTAGGGAAGCTGCCGAAGCCCGAGTGTTTGGGATGGGGCAGCTGAGGGGCTGGGATGCTGTGACAGTGCCAGCTGCCTGGGACACTCTGATCTTTTCAATCAGGCCTCTGCAGGGTTCTGTTTGGGGAGGGGAAGGAAGGGAGCCCAGATAATCAGCAGGCTGCCTCCCGCGCCCCTTAGTGAGCTTTTCCGTAGGATCTCGTCTGGGTCTGGGGAGGGGCCTGCGCACATGCAAGTCTGACAGGTCCTCAGGTGGTCTGGGGACCACAATTAGAGAAGCCCTGGCAGAGGCTGCCCAAGGGGAAGAGCAGTGATCCTCATCCCCTCCAGGGCCCCAGAATACCCACTGTCTGCCTGCCCTGCTGGGACCACAGCTCCACAGTTGAGGAGGCAGGAGAAAAAGGAATTTCGGCAATAGAGCCACCTGATGCTGTTCCCTGAGCCTTGGTTTACCCATCTGTGAAATGGGGCTGATAGCAGGGCCTTCCTCACAGAAGGAACCCTGGTAACTAATTGTCCAGCTGGGCCCTAGCCCATAGCAGCTTCTTTCCACAGGCCTGGGGGCTTGCTCAGCTCACCCCTCTTCTCCTGCCCATCCCCAGTGGCTGGATTCCTCCCTCCGCATCACCCCCGTTTCACTTTCGGGGGTGATGGGGGCTGTTCTCAAAGGCCAGCCTGACATTCGATCAGTTCAGACTCCCCTCACTGCCAGGCCTGTGCAGGGGCCTGAACGTGGATAAGCAGCCGATCTGCCCTCAGGGTGGGGACTGGATGGGAAGGTGGGACACAGAGCTCCTGGGAAGCTAACAACTGGACAAGTGAGCGCTGTGGAGGCTCAGGGTGCTCACCAGGCCCTGTCCCCCAAGTCTGGGCCCACGCCCAGTCACAAGTCACTAGACACACAAGGAAACGAGACACCGAGTGAGAACCAACAGACCAGCCGGATGACAGACCCAGGAAGACTTGAGCCATGGGCGCTCTCACGCCGGTTACAAAATGATGGTGCTTATTACGTTTAAAGAAATAAAAGAAAGAAGAGGGCCCCCCCCACCAATGACCTTTTTTATTCTGTCCACAGACAGCAGCCCTCTCGTGGGCAACACGCCCGCCAGTTATGGGACCCTGACGATAGAGACATCTCTAGATCCCCTCAGCTCCTCAGTTTCATCCGTGGTACGTGGGCAGGGGACGGGCAGGGGAACCCCGGGTGGGACTAACAGCCCAGCCCACCCAGACCCCCAGCTTCCTCCTGCAGCCCCCGCTCCGCCCCCACATGGCCTTCTCTCACCCGCATTCTCAGAGGCTCAGCGGCTACTGTGGCAGTCCATGGAGGGTTATAGGCTATCACGTCGTGGTCTGGATGATGGCAGGGATCCCTTTGCTGCTGTTCCGGTGGAAGCCGGCATGGGGGGTGCGGCTGCGGCTCCAGCGGTGCAACCTGGCCCGCGCCGAAACACTCGTCATCGAAATAAGAGACAAAGAGGTGAGAGGCCGAGCAGGGGCTGGAGAGGGGTGGCCTGCGGGGGTGGAGGATGCTCAGGCTCTCAGCCCAACCTGGCTACTTTCCGTGGGACCTCACACAGGTTGTTCCCCTCTCTGGAACTCAGCTTTTGCACCTGAGCTGTGGGCGGAAGGGGCAGGTCGGGTGGTTCCTGAGGAGGTCACCTATATCCTTGCTCCCTGCCTTCTCCAGCAGGGGTCACCTGGCTGTGGGGAGGGGCCTGGGAGTGGAGGGGTCTCTTCCAGAACTGAGTCCACACCTCCATGTTCCAGGATAGTTCATGGCAGCTCTACACTGTCCAGGTGCAGACCGAGGCCATCAGCGAGGGCAGGTGAGGCAGTCCCATCACCGCTCCTCAGAAGCGCCTGCTCCCCCTGGCCCCTCACCCACATGGGTTCTGACCCTGGTGCCTCCCATCCCAGGGAGGGAAGGTGGCTTTGGGGATGAGGAGGCACTGGGGCAGCTCCCAGAGCTCCATAGTAACCCCCACGTCCCTCCCCAGCCTGGGGCTGCCCCCACAGGCCCAGGCAGAGGACGGCCAGAGCCAGGCCGCTGTGGGGGCAGTGCCAGAGGGTACATGGAAGGACACCGCCCAGCTGACCAGGAATGAAGAGGCGATGCGTGGACAGGTGGGTTCTGGACAAGCCCTTGTCCCTCTCTGGGTCCTCGTTTCACTCTGTACAGTGAGGGTTGGGGGCGGGCTCCATGTTCTCCAGGCACCTCTGGTTCTGTTGTCACGAACCTCCAGGATGCTGGCTGACCACCTTTACTTGCCAAGCCTCTCCCACCTCTTTCCTGTGACACTGGTCCCTCTCCCCCTTCCCCGCCCCCCGCCCGCCCCCCATACTCCTCACGGGGCCACTGCAAGCCAGCCTCTCTCTCCTGCCAGCAGCAGGTGCTGCGGTACTACCTCTTCCAGGGCCGGCGCTACGTCTGGATCGAGACCCAGCAGGCCTTCTGCCAAGTCGGGTAAGGGGACAGGGCTGTGCGGCTCACACCACCTTCCACAGCCGTGCTGCGCTGGGCGGAAGAGGCACCACGAAGTGGCCCTGCCTGGACTCCCCTCTCAGCTCTGTACCCTGGCCTCCTGCAACCATGAGCAAGTCACTGAGCCTCTCCAGGCCTTGGGGTTCTCTGTAAATAGGGCATGAAGAGAGTCCCTGCCTCCTGGGGTTATTTTGAGGGTGAAATACATAAGCTTCTTGTAAAGCTTGGCATAACCTCTAAAGCGAGCTAGGAACACCACTGTGAACCAGTAGGCCATCATTTGGGGTCTGGTCCCTGCTCTGCCACCTATTAAGTGCTTGATAAATGTGAGCTCACAACAGATCTGAGTTTGAGCCCCAAGAAGCAGATCTCAAGATGGGGATTCAAGTGCAGGGGGTTTGTGTGGAAGGCGAACCCAGGCAACACGGGGGAAGTGTGGCAGGAAGGGCAGGCAGCTGGGGGAGGGATTGTCGTGAGCACCTGGAGCTCAGTCCCCTTGGGGACCTCTTTGAGCATGTGTAGAGCACGTACCTCGGGAAGCCCTCACCCACAGTGAGGAGGCCAGGGCACCTTCCTGTCACCTCCCTACCACTGTTGGTTGCGGGTTGCTCTCGGGGACATGAACTCTTATGCGCTCTGCGGGCAGAGCGAGTTCCCACAGCTAGGAGGAGCCCTCAGGTAAAGACAGGTATTTGCAGCAAGCTTCTGCGTCCTGCAGAGGTGAGTGCCAAGGGGGTGTGGAAGTGGCACCAGCAGCCTCTGTTACATAAGAACAGCAAAAATTCTTGACGTGTTTGCCACTTAGTAAGTGCCGGGCACTGCCCAAGCACTTTGTATGGCTTATTGTTCAGTCCCCCTGTATCCCTGTGAGTAGGTGATGTCACCATCCTCCTACTGCAGATGAGGCACGGAGAGGTTAAGTGACTCACCTAAGGCATCGTCATAGCTGTCGTCACTATTATCATCCTCCTTCATTCCTCCTTCCTCGCTGAGATGGTCTGGGGCCCAATCAGAGGAACCAAAGGAGAAAGTTAAGCCCAGAGTTAGTGAAGGACATGCGTTCTCCCGGGAGCTTAGTGTGGCAGAAGCGGGCCAGAAGGGGTGGGGGATGCGGAGCTCAGGCCCTGTCACCTGCACGAGTGCCCCTCTCCCACTCGCCCCAGCCTGCTGGACCAAGGCCGTACCTGTGACGACATCCACCACTCCCGCTCCGGCCTCTGCCTCCAGGACCAAACTGTAAGGTGGGTGTTGCTGGACCAGAGGTGCCCTGAGAGCTGGGGACCTCTCTCTTGCCCCCCCAGGCATTGCCTTCTTCCAATCACCTATCTTCTCTGGGCCTTGGCTTCTCCAGCTGTAAAACAGGGAGCTCTGTCACCCCTGGAGGCCAACTGCCACAGCCCCCTCCATCTGATGGCTTTGCCTTTTCTCCTCTTACAGGAAGACCATCTACGGCCCCAACGTGATCAGTGTACCGGTCAAGTCCTATCCCCAGCTGCTGGTGGATGAGGTAGGGCTGTCCCTGGGCCTCACCCCAAGTATGGCCTGGACTGGCTGTGAGACTTTGGCCAGGGGCTTGCCCTCTCTGGGCCACTTTACAGTGGCAGTTCAGACCAGCCGCCCCCACTTAGAGTAGAGTCATCTCAGACCCAACCCCAGTCAGCACAAGGAGAGGAATTGGAGGTCTGGTCCAGACTGGGGACCAGAGGCCAAGAGGTGAACCCACACAGCCTGGGCTCCTGCTCTGTGCCAAGGGCCGTGCTCCGGAGTCCAGGTCCTTTCTGTGCACCATCCTCTTTCATTCTCCCTACAGCCTCACGAATAGGGGCTAGGAATAGGGACGCTCTGTTCACGCGCGCATGAGGAACCCAAGCTTCAGAATTGGGACGTGGCACGGCAAAGGTCTCAGAAATAAAGGGAAGCCAGTGACCTAGACACATCTAGAGTAGACTGTGACCATCGCAGGACAGACTGAGCCAGGGCAGACACCTGCGAAAGGAGAGGAGGTCTTGGAGTCAGCCCCTGTGTGGTTTTATTCAAGTAACTTAACCCTCCTGTGCCTTAGTTTTCTTAATTGTAAAATGGATCTGATGGTAGCATGTGGGATTGTCCTCATCATTGTATGACACTTAGATGAAGTGCATCTCAGCGGCCTGGCATGTAAATGCTCGTGTCCTCTTTAGACCACAGAACATGGGGACTCAAGGAACAACTGGATGGGACTAACCGGGAGAAGGGCCTGGCTATAGTCCTGTGGCAGCTGCTGGGCCCTCTGCTCCTGTGGCTGGGCTGCCCCGGGGGCCACAGGCCCTGACGCTGCCTCCTGCCCTTCTAGGCACTGAACCCCTACTATGGGTTCCAGGCCTTCAGCATCGGGCTGTGGCTGGCAGACCACTACTACTGGTATGCCCTGTGCATCTTCCTCATCTCCTCTGTCTCTATCTGCCTGTCACTGTACAGGACCAAAAAGGTGGGTGATGTGAGGTGGGCAGGGTGGGGCCAGTGGAGGGTTCCCCGAGGGGGCCTCCACCCACCCACTCCCAACTTGTCCCCCTACCCACAGCAAAGCCAGACCCTGAGGGACATGGTCAAGCTGTCTGTGCGGGTGTGCGTGTGCCGGCCTGGGGGAGGTGAGAACTGGGGAAGGGAGGGAGGCTGGGGGAGGTGGCTGGGGTGTGTGGGCCAGACTGAGGTTCCTGCTTGCCTGCAGAGGAGTGGGTTGACTCCAGTGAGCTGGTGCCCGGAGACTGCCTGGTGCTGCCCCAGGAGGGTGGGCCGATGCCCTGCGACGCTGCCCTGGTGGCCGGTGAATGCATGGTCAACGAGAACTCCCTGACAGGTCATTCCCAGCCCCTGGTCTGTGGCCTCCTGCGCTTCCTCCCCTGCCACCAAGCACCCCAGCCGCGTGTTAGAACTTTAAATTTGAGTCTTCTTTTCCTCTTGCTCTCAGCTAACAGTCCTGGCTTCAGCTCTCACTCACCCACCACCCCTTGGGCCCTCAGCAAGAGATCTCTACTGTGCCAGGCAGGGGGTCAGGGCTTTACGGAGGTCAAGACCTCTCGTGTCAATATCTTTATTGGTTTGAATTATAAAAATAATGCAGCTTGCTATAAAATAATGCCTACAGGAGAAAGTCGTCCCCCAGCCTCTGCCCCCTGCTGTGTGCATGCATGCGTGCACACACCTTCTGGCTCCCCCAGAGAGGGTTTCTGGTAATGGCTGGTACATATCTGTTTGTGTCTTTGTCCTCTCTGAGTCTCAGAATCCCACTTCGTGAATGGGGGACAATGATTTCTTCATACATGGTTATAAGAGTTACAGGAGACCTAGGGCTTATAAAGCAATTCTGTGCGTAACTCTTGATCTTGTTGGTGGGAGAGGGGGGCACAGAGGCCCTTATGGGTCTCACATTACATCCCTCCCAGGGGAGAGCGTTCCAGTGCTAAAGACAGCCCTGCCGGAGGGGCTGGCGCCCTACTGCCCAGAGACCCACCGGCGGCACACACTGTTCTGTGGGACGCTCATCTTGCAAGCCCGGGCCTTCGTAGGACCCCACGTCCTGGCAGTGGTGACCCGGACAGGTAGGAGTCAGGAAAGCAGGGAGGGATGCTGGGCCTAGCGCCTAGAGGAGTGGTGACTTGAGGAAGGACAGGACCCATCTCTGCCACTGCTCTGCTGTGGGACCTTGAGCGTATCCCACCCCAGGCTGGAGTGGGCAGGGAAGTGACAAGCAGGAAAGAGCCCACCCTTTAGGAAGGGGCAGTGCTGTACAAAGTTCGATTTGACTTATAGTCAGCTGAGGTCCAAAAATGTTAAGTGGAAAATTCCAGAAATAAATAATTCATAAGTGGTAAGTTGCACGCTGTTCTGAGCAGCGTGATGAAATCTTGCCATCCTACTCTGTCCCACTGGGGACAGGAAACATCCCTTTGTCCACTGCGTCCACACTGTATGTGCTCCCCACCCATTAGTCACTGAACGCCGTTTTGGTTACCACATCGACGATTGTGACCATCACAGTGCTTGCGGTCGAGTCACCCTTATTTTACTTAATAATGGCCCCAGAGTGCGAGAGCAGTGATGCTGGCCGTTCAGATATGCCAGGGAAGCTGTCAGGTGCTTCCTTTACGTGAAAAGGTGTGTACAGAAAAAAGACAGCGTATGCGTCTATGCAGGGTTCAGTATTCTCCGTCGTTTCAGACAGCCACTGGGGGTCTTCGAATGTTCCCCCCTCAGAGGAGGGGGGACTGCTGTGCAACTCTGACGGGTTCTTGCCATGTGGGAATGTGTCACAGGATTTGACTTACTCAGTTTTTACTAAACCCTATGAGGGCTGGGCAAGGTCTGTGGGCCGTCATGTGGGACCCCAAACTGGGTGATTTTTAACGCCAGGACATCATTCATGTCTTACAACCCCAGAGGTACATGTGGGGTGTGTAGGGTTAAGGAGACCTGTCTTGGCCCTTGGCATCCCCTGCCTCAGTTTCCCCATCTCCCAGGGTTTTGCACAGCTAAAGGGGGCCTGGTGAGCTCCATCTTGCATCCCCGGCCTGTCACCTTCAAGTTCTACAAACACAGCATGAAGTTTGTGGCTGCCCTCTCTGTCCTGGGTGAGTGTCCCCTGCATCCCACTCTGCCGGTGGCCCCCAAGGCCTCATCCCAAATCCTGACGAGTTCCATTCTGTCTCCCCAGCTCTCCTCGGCACCATCTACAGCATCTTCATCCTGTATCGCAACCGGGTAAGCCCTGGGGTGGGGTGGGGGCTGCTGGTGGGAGTCCAGGACCCACCCAGCCTGGCCTTGGCATTCACGGTGCCTCCTTCCAGGTGCCTGTGAACGAGATTGTGGTCCGGGCTCTGGACCTGGTGACGGTCGTGGTGCCGCCCGCCCTGCCAGCTGCCATGACCGTGTGCACACTCTACGCCCAGAGCCGGCTGCGGAGCCAAGGCATCTTCTGCATCCACCCGCTGCGCATCAACCTGGGGGGCAAGCTCCAGCTGGTGTGCTTTGACAAGGTGGGGGCCGTGGGCGGGGCTGGCACGTGGCTCAGCCATGGACACCACAGCCAGGCCTCCACACCTGCGTTCTTCACTCAGCAACACTGGCTGAGAGCCTGTTGGATGTCACGCCCTGTCTTGGGGTGGAAACACTCAGAGGAACTGTACCCCAAGCCCTTACCCTCGTCAGGCTCACGGTCTGGCAGATGACGTCCAAAATCATTCATTCATTTTTTTCAAGAACCACTGAGAGCCTACTGTGTGCCTGGTGCTGCCCTCAGCACTGGGGGCCCATCAGTGACCCACACAAAGATGTCCCCTGGACGTGGATGTGTGTGTGTGAACTGAACAGAGTGAGTGAGCCGGGGAGCACGGAGCCGCAGGTGGTGTTGGGTATTAGGAAGGAAGCGAGTGGGGTACGTGGTGGATGGTACATGACAGTCACCCCCTTAGAAGGCAGTGGCGGCTCCTCTGAACAGGTCCCTGGGTGACCTCAGTGTGGGGTAGGCCACGTCGAGATGTCGCGGGGCTAGGGTGTTGAGGAGTGTGGGTAAGGAACCAGTGTCCCTCCTTAGAGGAGCAAACCGTGTGCCTGGGGTCTGAGGAGCAGCGGGCTCGGGGGCCAGAGGCTGGCAGCTCTGGTGAGGAGTTTAGATATTATTCTGAGGGCAGTGGGGGCTACAGAGAAGTTTTAAAAGGAAAGGGTGGGGCATGGTCAGATTCCGAGGCTCCCAGGCTAGCAGGGAAGCCAGGCATGTAACTGGGTGATTGAAATACATGTGGGAAATGCATCCTTTCACTCGTCCACTCATTCATTCAGTCATTCAGTCAACAGTTACATCGAGTGTAGGCATTCTCCTTGGTACCTCAGTGAACAAATGATAGGGTAGCAAAGAGTCCGTGGGTGGGAGCCCAAAGCAAGGACCACCTGACCCAACTATAGGGTTAAGGAAGACTTCCTAGAGGAAATGATACCCCACAAAGAAACCTCAGGGGTTGGGGAGGGCCAACTGGCAGAGGGACCCATATGTGCAAAGGCCCAGAGGCAAGAGAGGACCTCTTCCGACTCCAGCCTTGGCTGCTGGGGTTTCCGGGGGACCCTTCTGGCCTGGGGTGTGGGCGCCCAACCCAGCAGGGCACAGCTCATCCCAGGCTCATCACTGGCCCGCCCCCTTGCCCCCTGCAGACAGGCACCCTCACTGAGGATGGCTTGGATGTGATGGGTGTGGTGCCCCTGCAGGGGCAGGCCTTCCTGCCATTGGTCCCAGAGCCCCGTCTCCTGCCCATGGGGCCCCTGCTCCGAGCACTGGCCACCTGCCACGCCCTCAGCCGGCTCCAGGACACCCCAGTGGGCGACCCCATGGACCTCAAGATGGTGGAATCTACTGGCTGGGTGAGGAGGCCAAGCAGGTCAGCCCCCTGCCTCTGGGCGGCTGGGCCCTAACTTAAACCCACCTGGTCTTCATTCTAGGACTTCCAGGGTGGTCTCTGTTATGCCCACCATCAGTCATAGCAGTGGCCAAGGCCACGTGCTGAATGCCTACTGTGTGCCAGCCTTCTGTTGCATATCCCTTGTCTCACGTACTCCTCCCCAAGGCCCTAGAAAGGAAGCTTAAAACCTGCTTCATAGGGAGGAAACTGAGGCTAGGGGAGATTTGGAATAACTTGTCCAAGGTCACCCAGCAGCTTACAAGTGGTAAAGCCAGAGTTTGAACTTGGGTCTGCCCGACTCCAAAGCCCGCATTCTTTCTGTTCTAGCCAGTCTCCCGTTAAGGACGTGATTCATAAGTCTAACTTGAATCTCTCCTACATTTCTCTATGGGCCAAGGACGGCTGCCCCAGGCCAAGCCAGTGCTCAGCCCCTTGGGTACCAACCTTGTCTGCCTGCCTCCCAGGTTCTGGAGGAGGGGCCAGCTACAGACTCGGCATTTGGGACCCAGGTCTTGGCAGTGATGAGACCCCCGGTTCAGGAGCCCCAGTTTCCGGGCATGGTGAGCCAGGGGTGTGCCTGTGGGGTACGGGGTTTGGGAAAGGCTCCGCAGGCCGGCCCCTCAGCTGCCTCTCCAACTCTGCAGGAGGAGCCCCCACTGCCAGTCAGCATCCTCTGCCGCTTCCCCTTCTCATCTGCCCTGCAGCGCATGAACGTGGTGGTGGCCTGGCTAGGGGCTGCTCAGCCTGAGGCCTACATCAAAGGCTCCCCTGAGTTGGTGGCAGGCCTTTGCAACCCCAAGACAGGTGAAGGGGGCGGGCCCCAGAGTCCCTGAGTGGCATTGGCACAATGGGGTGGGTACCCAGCCTCTGTCCCTGTACCCACCTTTTTGTCTCAATGACACCTGTTCCTGCATGGCAGTGCCCACCAACTTTGCCCAGATGCTGCAGAGCTACACAGCCGCTGGCTACCGCGTCGTGGCCCTCGCTGGCAAGCCTCTGCCCATCGCACCCAGCCTGGAAGCAGCTCAGCAACTGACCAGGTGGGCCCTGGGGACCAAGCCTCAGGCCCCTGCGTGGGCAGAGGGAGGGCCATGTGCAGGTATAGCCCAGGGCAGGGGAAGGGACCTTGGCCACTTCATGAACTCTGGCCTGCCCCACAGGGACACCGTGGAACAGGAACTGAGCCTCCTGGGGCTGCTGGTCATGAGGAACCTGCTGAAGCCACAGACGGCACCAGTCATCCAGGCTCTGAGGAGGACCCGCATCCGCACCGTCATGGTGACAGGTACCAGCAGGTCTGGTTAGGAGGGAAGAGTCTGCCCCGTCCAGGGCACAGGGAGCATCTCTCCCCAGGGCATCTCCTTAGGCCCTGTTTCAGGCCAGGTCCTTGTCAGACATGTCACGGATCGTCATAATATCCCTCCCAAGTGATTATTGTCGCCCATCTGACAGATGAGGAAGGTGGGGCTCAGGGGAGTAGAGTGAATTCTAGAGAGCCCAGGGGTGATGTCAGACAGTCTGGGTTCCAGCCTGACTACTCACCTGCTGGATGACCTCTCCAAGGTCTCGTTTCCACTCTAAGAAATGGGGGAAATTTCATCAGCCTCAAAGGTTGTGACAATTTCATGGAGCAAGAAAAGATTCTGGCTGGCACAGGTTGCCGTGGAGGAGCTCAGGTCTGTGTCCTCCTTGTCCCCTCCACCCCTGCACACACACGTATTCCAGCAAAGTTCTGTAGCACTACATAGTTTATGTGGAACTTGAACCCAAGCCCCCAGTTTCTAAGATCTTCTCTGCCTGATTTTATAGACGAGGAAACCAAGGTTCAGACACCGATCACCTGCCTGTGCTCAGCCAGTCATGGCCGACGGGTTCTGTCCCGCCTCGGTTTGCCCATCTATAAGTGTCAGAGTGAGGCTGGCCCCACTGGGTAGCCGCTGGACCCTGACCTTGCCCCATGTTCCCCAGGGGACAACCTGCAGACGGCGGTCACTGTGGCCCAGAACTGTGGCATGGTGGCCCCCCAGGAGCGTCTGGTCATTATCCATGCCACGCCCCCTGAGGGGGGCCAGCCCGCCTCCCTCGAGTTCCTGCCAGTGGAGTCCTCTGCAGCCATGAACGGGGCTAAGGTGAGGCTGACGCCAAGTACCTATGACATACCCCACCAGTGATCCCACCTGCATGTCGCCTGAGCCAGGCCCCAGCTCTCTGGGGCGGGCAGAGGGAGCTGAGCTGAGCTTCCCGGGCCCCCAGGATCCTGACCAGGCCGCAAACTACACCATGGAGCCAGACCCCCGATCCAGCCACCTAGCCCTCAGTGGGTCCACCTTTGCTGTCCTCATGAAGTACTTCCCCAGGCTACTGCCCAAGGTAGGGCTGCCCCAAGCCTCCCTGGTCACCCCACACTGACCCCTGCTCTCTCCTTCCTCTTGGCTCCCCTACCCCACCCTGCATCTGCCTCAGCTCCCCCCACCTCTGCGCTCCCAGGTCCTGGTCCAGGGCACTGTCTTTGCCCGCATGGCTCCTGAGCAGAAGGCGGAACTGGTGTGCGAGCTGCAGAAGCTTCAGTGAGTGTATGCGGGCGAGGGGGTCCCCAAGGCCCTGTCTCCCACCTCAGGCATGAGAGAGCCAGAGCCCTCAGAGAGAACCCATGCGGGCGAGGGGGTCCCCGAGGCCCTGTCTCCCACCTCAGGCATGAGAGCGCCAGAGCCCTCAGAGAGAACCCACAGGGCTGCCATGCTAAAGTAGTAATCGCACTTAATTGCTGAGCACCTACTGTGTAGCAGGCACCATACGTGCGGGCAGTCGGGATCCAGCCATCCCCGCGTTCTGCCAGCAAGCCCGTGAGGTGGGTGGGACTCCTTTGCAGACACGAAGGTGCCTCACAAGCTCAGAGCCAGGCCGTGCATCTGGGCCACGCCTGCCCACTCCTCTGTGTCAGGTACTGTGTGGGCATGTGCGGGGACGGTGCCAATGACTGCGGGGCCCTGAAGGCGGCGGACGTGGGCATCTCACTCTCTCAGACCGAGGCCTCGGTGGTCTCACCCTTCACCTCGAGCGTGGCCAGCATTGAGTGTGTGCCCATGGTCATCAGGTGAGGTGGGCAGGGGGTCGGTGGGCAGGGCCTGGCCTGTCTGCCAGTCTGGGCTCCCTAAAGCCTGTACTCTGCTACCAGGGAAGGCCGCTGTTCCCTCGACACGTCCTTCAGTGTCTTCAAGTACATGGCCCTGTACAGCCTGACCCAGTTCATCTCTGTCCTGATCCTCTACACGGTGGGTGTCTGCAGAGCTCCCTGCACAGAGCGGGGCCCGGGAGCAGGCGCATGCCAGGCCCAGGGGTGTGGACACTCGGCGGTGTGGTTAGGAGCCAAGCAGGTTCTGGAATAGATGGTGGTGCCTCAAATCAGGCTCTGCCACTTTCTAGCTGTGTGGCTTAGGCGACTCCCGAACCTCAGTGGCCAGGCTTGTAGGATATGACGAAAGCACTGAGCAGAGGCTCCAGGTCCTTAGAAACAGGAGAGCTGCCCTGAGCTAATGTTTCATCCCTCTGCGCTGGGGGCTCCCCATTTGCAAGGGACACTGAGGCAGAGCCCAGGCAGAGCGGATGGAGGTGGGAGTAGGTCAGAGCCAGGGCCCCTGCCCTTTGCATGGGTCCACCTGTTTCCTTATTCAGGGGGCATCTCAGCCCCTCTGCTCTGAGCATGATGGAGGTGGAAGTAGGTCAGAGCCAGGGCCCCTGCCCTTTGCGTGGGTCCGCCTGTTTCCTCATTCAGGGGGCATCTCAGCCCCTCTGCTCTGAGCATGTGCCACTGGCCCCCACAGAAAGCGGTGACGCCATGCAGCAGTGCAGATCTTATACCAGAGTCTGTCCCTGTGTCCCCTTTAAGTATAGGGCTTCCTGAGGGCAGGAACTGTGTCCGCCATTAGCCTAGGGGCTCCACAAGGCAAAGCCTAAGCCTCTCCTCAGGTCGGGTGTCCCCTGCAGGTAGGGGGAGCCTGCCGCATCAGCTTCAGGCCTCCAAGGTCAGCGGGGATACCTCTCAGACTGGGAGAGCAGCTCCCCAAGGGCACGGCTGGTGCCTCCTCTGTCAGACTAGAAGCTGTCTTTCCCTCCCTCCCCTGCCGGCAGATCAATACCAACCTAGGCGACTTGCAGTTCTTGGCCATCGACCTGGTCATCACCACCACAGTGGCCGTGCTCATGAGCCGCACGGGGCCAGCACTGGTGCTGGGGCAGGCGCGGCCACCAGGGTCACTGCTCAGCATGCCTGTGCTGAGCAGCCTGCTGCTGCAGGTGGCCCTGGTGGCCAGTGTGCAGCTAGGGGGCTACTTCCTGACTGTGGCCCAGCCGTGGTGAGTAGGGAGCCCACCCCCAAATCCCACCGTTGCCCTGTCCTCTGCGCACTCATTCCCTGATCCCCGGTCCCCGTACCGCCAGGTTCGTGCCTCTGAACAGGACGGTGCCCGCACCGGACAACCTGCCCAACTATGAGAACACGGTGGTCTTCTCTCTGTCCAGCTTCCAGTACCTCATCCTGGCTGCAGCTGTGTCCAAGGGGGCGCCCTTTCGCCAGCCGCTGTACACCAACGGTGCTGCTGTGGGGGGGGCTGGTGCCTATGGGGGTTCCCACCAGGCTTGTGTATGAACGTGTGGGGGCTCCCTGGCCTGACATACTCTCTCACCCCCAGTGCCCTTCCTGGTGGCCCTGGCACTCTTGGGCTCCATCCTGGTGGGCCTCCTCCTGGTCCCCGGCCTCCTGCGGGGGCCACTGGCTCTGAGAAACATCACTGACACCTGCTTCAAGCTGCTGCTGCTGGGCCTGGTTGCCTTCAACTTCGTGGGGGCCTTCATGCTGGAGGTGGGGCCCACCCCAGGTCAGGGTTGGGAGGCTTTCTGACTCTGCCACAGCTGCTTCCTCTGTACCGTTCCTGTCCTCTGCAGAGCGTGCTGGACCAGTGCCTCCCAGCCTGCCTGCGGTGGCTCAGGCCCAAACGGGCCTCCAAGAAGCGTTTCAAACAGCTGGAGCAGGAGCTGGCCGAGCAGCCCTGGCCACCACCCCCCCAGCCCAGGAGGTAGTGTACCCTGTCTGGAACACTGGACACTGGATCTTCCTGCCTCTGAGCCACTGACTGGGCCCCGTCTCCAGAGACACCACCACCATCACTCCCACAGCCCTGAGGTTGGCGGTTGTCACAGTCCTGCTCCAAGTCTGCTTGGCCCAGCCTTGCTTGCCCCACCTGGGGAAATGCTAACTGCTATTGTCCCTTCTTCAGACATCCCACATAGAGACAGCAGCCACCAACCCAACTCATAGCTGCTGTCAGTGTAGCAAATAAAGTCACTATTTTCCTGGCTCAGCCGTGCCTGTCTCCTACCTGGTACCACTGAGCTGGGTGCCCTCCTGGCACCCCATAATTTTTCAGGTCATGTTAGACAATTCCCCTCTCTGGGCCTTCTTTTCTTCATCTGATAGTAATATTTCCTGGTTGAATATGTGCCTGGTGCTCTGTTGAGCATTTTATAGCATTGTCATTTAATCTTTACAAACATGGATTGCTATCCCCATTTTACAAATACGGAAACTGGGGCTTAGTTTTCACAAGTAGTCAGAGGCGAGGCCAAATTGTTTTGACTCCAATATCCACGCTCTTAACCTTCCCTCCCTCCTGTGAGGGCAGAAAGACAAAGGACTTGCCTCATACAAGTGCCAACACCTAGGAGACATTTAACTGGGGCAGTTCCCTCCTCTCCCCCTAACCCCCACATTGCAGGATGTGTTTATGGTCCAGTTCCTTCCTCAGATGAAAATCCGGGCTCTGAGCCCACATCTCCCAGGCAAAACCACGTGCACGTCCCCCAGGGAAGAGTGGGCGCTTCTGGCCTCACCCACCAGCGGGACACTGGCCAAGCCCTACTCTGTAGATGCAGCTCAGTCATCTGGCCTGTCTGAGCTGGGCAGGGGAGGACAAGAAACAAAGGCTGGTTCCTGCCCTTCAGAAGCCCCACCAGCCTCATTACTGGAAGTACTGGAAGCCCTGGCACCATCCCCAGGCCTGCCCTCGTAGGAGCTCAGTAAATGTTGACTCAAACCGAGGAGGAGGGAAGGATGTGGGGTGTGAAAAGATAACTGGTAACAGGCGCATCCACAGACCTTGCACTGGGCACTGAGCCATCAGCCAGCGACAGTTCAGGGTGGCATTTGCTGTCGAAAAGGAGGCTGGAGGACACAGGGAGAGGCCTGGATTCGAATCCCTCTTCTACCCTTGGCCGATTATCCATGCATTTATTGGGCAGTCATGTGCCAGGCACAAGGGCTACACTGGTGGACAAGAAACGGCCTCTGCCTGTGTGCAGCTTGTCACTTGGTGTGAGAGA